GACTGTCTCACCTGTTCAGAGGGCCTGATCCAGTTGGGGGCCCCTCAACCTTTGGTTCATAGTTCATGTGTTTCCATTCATTTGGTTATTTGTCCCTGTGCTTTATCCAACCTTGGTTTCAACAATTCTCGCTCATATAAACCCTCCTCTTTCTCACTAATTAGACTCCCAGCACTCCACCCGGGGCCTAGCCGTGGATGTCTGCATCAAAAAAATAAAATAAAATAAAATAAAAAAAATAAAAGAAAACAATGTAAGTTGACCAATCAGACAGACAGGCATGGCTGATCTCTTGAATGCTACATGTCCCTTGAAATCCTCTGCATTGCCTTTATTATAGCAACTGTCTGCTTTGTCTCTAGGTAAATGAAATCTACCACGATGAGTCCCTTGGAGTGCATATAAATGTGGTCCTGGTGCGAATGATTATGCTCGGTTACGCAAAGGTAAAATATCTAAAAATGTGTGGCTTGTGAACATTAGAGACTGAGTTAACCAGTAGAAGACTGAGTTGCAAAACTACCCTCAATCTTATATAAACTCATAGTTATACCAAGCTGGGGAGAAGAATCTTCTGAAATGGGAAGAGATCTCTAAATTAGAGCAACTTTTTGTTAGAGACAGGTCTTTATACAGTCCAGGTTGGCCTCAAACTTCCCATGAGGTCAAAGATGGCCTTGAACTCCTGATCCTCTTAACTCTACTTCCTAAGTGTTGGGACTCTAGGCATGCACTAACATGTCCAGTGTATACACTGCTGGGATTGAACCAAGAATCTCTTGCACACTAGACCAGCACTCTACCAATTGAGCTACAACCGACCCCTAGTTAACAACATTTTAGGTGTGAGAATGAGTAAGTGAACGTGAGTGGATACCATTAAGAGAGAGGAAAGTCTCCTTAGCCTATTACCATCAGGTTGATGACCTGTATAACCATTCGCTGTGTCTGTTGTAGTGTCCATTTATATGGCAGTTACTCTCAGAGCACCTGGAAAACACCAGCGAAGAAAAGAGAATTATCTTTTGTTTGATTTATTTAAAACAGTGTTTCAAATGGATATATTTAAAAGTGAGGCACCCTGAATATTATTTAATCCTTCTGAAAACAGAAAGTTGGTTCAAAATGTATACAGTAGCCATTCTTGCCATAGAATCAAAAACCTATGTCTATTGATACTGGATGTGTCTGTGTCCTTGGAAAGAATCAAATTCCTTTGAGAAGCCTGAATAACTTGGCAATTTTTATGTTTATAAAACTATGCCTCCCATACATAATCCTCCTGATTAGGAAATGCTAGTGAGATTGTGCACGTAGGAAACCGTAAGCCTCCATGTGATTGCATTTCTTCATGTATTTCTTCATCCACATGACCTTATCTACAGATATGCTGTCCCTGATCTTTACCTTCTCTTAAAACCTAACCTACTATGTGTTGCTACAGAGGAGCAAGCCAATCCCAGCTGGAAGTCTTAATAGCCTTCAGTTGGTTATTAAATCATTTGTTTGGCATACTGTATGAATAGCATATAACAGACCAAGCAAAGTTTATTATGAATGTAAACACTGATAATAGCATTTGCTGAAATTCAACAAAATGCTGGACCCTTTATCCAATTAGGCATTCATTTGTGATTCCAAATTCAATTTCTCTTTCTGTTAGAAACATTATGGAAGGGAAACCCCTGTGTTCTTAAAGGATGGGCTCTTTCACCCCTCAACTTTTTAACTCCATACTGTAGTGTGAACTTAACATATAAACCCACTGAAGTTATCAGATAAGAGACCAAACCCTATCATTTCATGAGGTTACAATGCTATTTTTCTCCATGGTGAAGCTAATTTAATTTGACTGTACCCCGTACACTAAAGTTTGACCAGTCTTGCCAAATCTTGAAAGAACTTATTTTCCTCCTACATGTGACTATTTCTGGACCAAAAGAATACACAAAAATCTTAGCTAAGAGCTTTGACTTTTGTATCTCTGGAAAAAGTCTCTTGCAAGAATCTTTCCCAGTATTTTTGTCTTTAATGTGCGAAATCTAAAATTTGAACAGAATCAGTAAATATTGTAGGCTTCTAAAATTCTCCTCCAAATGATTAGTACCTAGTCACTTCACAGTGGTAAACCCTGACTCAAACATTGTTATGCATGTGTCTATGGACTTTCACACAGGTAGTACAGAACCTCCTCACTGGGTCCTTATGGGCTTTAGAATTTCTAAATCAAAGTTGATTCCCAGAATAATATTTCTGAATCCTTGTTGAAATATTATTCCCAAATCCAAATCATAAAAAGCATGTTCACCATATTCTTTCCTTTTAGTCTATCAGCCTCATAGAAAGGGGGAACCCATCCAGGAGTCTGGAGAATGTGTGTCGCTGGGCTTGCCAACAACAAAAACCTGATCCCAACCACGCTGAACACCACGATCATGCCATTTTCTTAACCAGGCAAGACTTTGGGCCTGCTGGAATGCAAGGTATTACTGTTGCTACGTAGAAGAAAAAAAAAATACGGGCCTGGGTTTTCGAAAGAAATCCCAAGTCGAGCAGGTTGTGCAGATGTTCGTATCTCCCCACCACTTCCCACCAGCCACGAGCCAAGCATACATTTCCCCCCTCTGTTTCTTCCAATGACTTTCTGCAGAATCCACAATGTTAAATGCCACTTACACACCATAATAAATTATACTTGCCTTTAAAATAACGATTGGACGTTTGGGGCATGGTAGGGATGCTGTAACATGCAGTGTGATTTCCACTCACTGTTCAGAATGAGAATGGCTCCTGCCAGCAATCTTTCTTCCAAAGTCAGCTTATATTTATCGAATAAACGCTGATGTAGACAGACTGTGGAGAAGGACTGATGGTTTTCTTTTCCACATTGGTATGATTTCTGGCTCTCTCCATTAGAGCCAAGATATGACGGGCCGTTTACTAAAACAGAAAGACAAGGCTGAGATGGAATGGTAGCCCCCGGGCAGTCCCTTCCCTCTTTCCCAGGAGAACGCGGCTTACTGATAACAAGGTTGCCCCTGTTTACAGGAACACAGCTTTTTTTTTATCCTAAGCAAAGACCCAGTACTAATTATAATGAGGTTTTTATATTTAAAATGGAAATAAGTGATTGTCATTGTCAACAGGATACGCTCCAGTCACAGGCATGTGCCACCCAGTGAGAAGTTGTACCCTGAATCATGAAGATGGTTTCTCATCTGCCTTTGTAGTAGCCCATGAAACTGGCCATGTGTAAGTTACTGCTGACAGCTAGATAGAAAAAACAAAGTTGTGTTTTTTTCTCTTTGCTTTTCCACTGTTGTTCACACTTGATGTAACAATGCATGCCAGTGTGAGTTCTCAGCCTTTGCCAAGAGCGAGGAGCTGAAAACAGTGAAGCGTCATGTGCTGAAACTCAATGAGTGGCCCTGTCTGGCCACGCCATCCCATGCCTTTCATAGCTATAGAATGAGAACGGCGTTTCATTAGGTACCGCTCTCAATTTCAGGGTCTGTGGAGTCTCCCAGGAAGCCGTGTTGACTTTTAAAAATATGTCTTTCCCAGCGTGTGTTGCGAGAAAAGACAGGAAGTCCGAGCCGTGGCCCTGCGATTATTACCCACGAGGTCTCCTTTGTGTTCTAGGTTGGGAATGGAGCATGATGGGCAAGGGAACAGATGTGGGGATGAGACCGCCATGGGCAGCGTCATGGCGCCCCTGGTGCAAGCCGCCTTCCATCGCTACCACTGGTCCAGATGCAGTGGTCAGGAACTGAAGAGATACATCCAGTATGTGCCTCGCTGCATGTCATGCCCTGCTGCATAGGCTACACACATGACATCAGAGGTGTTGACCCAAAAGATTCTATAATGTCATACGATGGTAGAAGCCATGAGCCTTGAACTCAAGCGTAGTTCTAGCCGGGGTGGGGTTTCCCTGGGGTAGATGGTCAGACTCGGGCAGAGGATGGAGACAGGGTGCTTGCATGGGTCCTGCTTTCAATCCTGTCTATACCCTGAAGTCCTGCTGCGCCAGTGTTAGGACCTGCCCTGCCACAGTTCACATGGGTCCACGTAGTGACATGAGCAAGGCCACCACAGCATTCCTGTATCCCGGAGTTGTGCTTGATTAACTCTCCCAGAATTAGTAAAGATAAAAGATGAGTTAAATAAAACCCCCAAAACCTTAACACCATGTTTCTGGGAACCTGCCCTGTGACCTGACAAAACCCCACAGTATCTGAGCTAAGAGTCTTGTTTCCTTTAAGACCTGATGTCGTTGACGAGAATTTAAATGTACTTAATGTTCTCCTCCCTGCAGTTCCTATGACTGTCTCCTTGATGACCCCTTTGAACACGATTGGCCCAAACTCCCAGAACTTCCTGGAATCAATTATTCCATGGATGAGCAATGCCGTTTTGATTTTGGTGTTGGCTACAAAATGTGTACTGCGGTATGTGATGTGCTGTCAAGTTACATGTCTTACCTGAACATCTATTTGTGCAGCTCCACTTGGGTAGGCTCTGCACACTCACTGGTACTTGTATTTGCTCGGATGACTGAGCTAAATTAGATGCCTTAGGCATATAGCCTTAACTAATCCTCATGAGAGACAAGAGGGGAAATAGGGAGATCATAGGCTTTCATTATTTTAATTATTTTAGTTTTTGAGGTTACAATATAATTACGTCATTGCCTCCTCCCCTTTTCACCCTCCAGAGCCTCTCAAATACTTCTCCTTACTTTTTCAAGTTCATAGCTTTTTTAATTAAAAGCTATCATTACAGATATATATGTGTGTGTATATACATATATACACAGAGCAGACACACACACACACACACACACACACTGCAGAAGTAGGGGCAGAAGGATTGTAAGGCTTTTACTTCTAGGGTGAAAAAGCCAAGATTGCAGAGGTTCTGAACCCACTTACACCATCTCTTCACAGCTGGCAAATAGGGAGCTGGAGGGGCCAACAGAGGCGCTCCAGCTCAGAGTGTTATGTCCCATTCCTTCTCTGGTGTTTCTTCCCTTCAGAGATGACATTGAGCTTTTCTGTGGCTTGTTGGCCAGTATTCCGTATCTCTGTGGCTACAGAAAATGATTATCCCGATAAATCAACTCAAATGGAAGACTGTGAAGTATGTGTGTGGCCATGCACTCCTATAATCACAGCACTTAGGAGGCTGAGGCAGGAGGATCATGAGTTTGAAGCCAGATTCAGCTACTTAGTGTAGGCAGGTCCAGCCTGCATTCTGAAATGAATCTCTGCTTTTGGTGGTTTTAGTTTGTTTTTACTTTCCAGTAGTTAGACACTATGACATGAATGTCAGAGTAGGTCAGGTCTGACACTAAATCCATGAACTTGAGTACCATATGTGACATCTCTGACTTAGTTTCCTTGTGTCTGATGTGTGGACAATGATAGTGTTTATCACTTTAAGTTTACATGAGGATGAAATGTGATGATATAATCAATGCACTTAGCACAGTGCAGGCCTATTACACCTGTCACTGATGCGTCAGCACACCAAGGCAGTGTTTATTTCTTGACATGTTACCACTTTGGCAATCAACTTGAAATGAAAATAACACACCCCCCCCCCAAAAAAAAAACAACATGACATGAAGAAAGTGTGTATAAAGTATGGTTGGCAAATGTGCCACTCTCTGAAAGTTCTGATGGCTTGCCTCTTTTTCTTCCAGTTCCGAACTTTTGACCCATGCAAACAGCTGTGGTGCAGCCATCCCGATAACCCATATTTCTGTAAGACTAAGAAGGGCCCTCCCCTCGACGGGACTGAATGCGCTCCTGGGAAGGTGAGTGTGTCTGTTTGTGATTAGACTTCATCGCGTGCTGCGCAGGAACCTTTCCAAGTCTAGCAAATGATGCTCACTGCTGAACTGTTTGCCTCATGGAGAACAGTGCCTGTGATTTCCTACTAGTAAGGCTCTAAGATAGGATACTACCTCCCGTGGATGCTACCACAAATTGCCATGAAGTTGATGGTTCAAAACACTAGGAGTTTGTTCTGTCGTAGCTGTGGAGGGCATGAGTCAGTTATACTGACTCATGTGGAGGTGAAGTTTGATGTGGACCGGGCTGTGCTCCCTCCAAGGAGTGGAGTGGCAATGAGTTCCTCCCCTCTCCCAGCTTCTGGCTACCCACCTCCCACATCATGGCCACACTCCTCTGACCTCTAACACAGTGGGTGTCTGTATTCCCTCTGCCCCTTTCTTGCAAGGATTGAGTCTTTTGGTGATGTTTTGAGCCTACCTGGATACCTCAGGATCATCTCCTGAACTTGAAATCCTTAACTTAATCATCTTACTAAATAAGGCCACCTCCACAGGCCCAGATATTAGCAGCTTTGCACACTGGGAGGACCAGAGCATTTGGCTAACTGTGGCCAAGAGGAAAGGCAATGGGGACAGCAGATCTCTGGCCCCTGCTAGTGGTGTCTGATTTACTTGCTGGCATGGCATCCCTTGTGAAAGTTGCCCAGAAATAAAGACATGAATTTATACAGAAGATTTGGCCTCGCTCCTGGGGGAAAGATGCCCAAAGGTTTTAAATCTCAGATTGTGTAGTTGGGACTGAATGCTTTGAAACTGGCTGGATGCCAAGGTGTGCTTCTCTTAAGGGCAGAGAGCCCAAAACAAAGGCATGCTAAGAACGCAAGTTGAGGAGCCTTGACTAGTCTAGAAATAATATATTGGAGATAGGACCAAATGCTGACAGAAAAGATTAATGCAACTTTTACCTTTTTAAAAGGTTGATTTCAAACATACATGAACTGTTCTTATATGAAATATGCATACTAATAAAATCCTGTCATTATAAGCACTTACATTTTATCTGACACCATGACAACTACCCTTTACATAGTGTCTTGCTTTTGGAAGATTTAGGAAGTTTTCAACTAAAATTAAGAGCAATAATGAGTAGAATTATTTTGGTTTATTAAAAAGTTATGGTACAGTAGATTTTAACATCCAACTTCCCTACATACAATTGTATTATATTATATTTAATGTATAAAGTTTTTTAAACTTTTTTGTCTATAGTCTATAAAAAAGGAATTGAAATTTTTGGAAAGAAAATAATCTATTCCCTTTGCAAACCTACGTGCTAAGTGCTGGGCAGTGTTATCACAGAATCTCTGTGGCATCATGACTGTACTAACCCCACTTAGTTCTTGGATACACTTTGGCCCCTAAACAATTCATGAATTTTATATATCTTGATTTTGCTTATCTAAAAGGTAAAAACTCATCATTTAACCTATCTATTTCTCAGATTCATAAATTAACATTTTATATAGTTTTACCTAACTTTAGTTAACTATTCTTTAAGTTGAGACACATTTGCATGCCATTGTTTTCAAAGGGGGTGTGGTAGCATCCAAAAACTCTAGGGTGAGCCAAGCAGTGAGAAGTGAAGCAGAAGGAGAATGGAGTCTGCTGGGCAGGCTGGGCAGTCACTTGTGTCATTTCAAAACTTACCTGAGTAAATGTTACTTTCCCTTAAAAAAAGATTTATATTTATTAATGTATGTGTATATGACATGTATGTACATGTGAGTGGATGCCCAGTGTCTGCATGGTACCCACAGAGGCCAGAAGAGGGTATCTGATTCCCTGGACTCAGAGTTATAGATGGTTGAGAGCTATCCAATGTGGATGCTCGAACATGACTCAGACCCTCTGCAGGAGAGCAGTGAGTGTTCTTAACCAGTGAGCTATCTCTCCAGCCCCAAATCTATCACTTTAATTTTTGTTTGTTTGTTTTTCAAGACAGGGTTTCTCTGTGTAGTTTTGGTGCCTGTCCTGGATGTAGACTAGGCCTGGCTCAAACTCACAGAGATCTGCCCGGCTCTGTCTTCCGAGTGCTGGGACCAAAGGCTTGCGCCGCCCGGCTGCCTATCACTTTAATTTTATTCTAAAGATTATAAATCTAAGTTATCCTTTTGATAGGTACCTTTGTGCAGCAAATGCCTATGTATACTTTAAATCATTATTTAACTGGAGGGAGAAGAAAAAGTTGAAGACCTTCAAATACATGTTTCTTGAACAACACCTTCAATGACTTTCATAATTATCTTTTTTTTTTTTTCATTTTCCCAAGTGGTGTTATAAAGGGCACTGCATGTGGAAGAATGCTAATCAACAAAAACAAGATGGCAACTGGGGGTCATGGACCAAATTTGGTTCCTGTTCCAGGACATGTGGCACTGGAGTTCGATTTAGAACACGCCAGTGCAATAATCCCACGTGAGTATTATCCTGAACTTCCTGTTGCTTTCTGATAGACAAGAAAGTGATTCTGTGTTCTGCTATGAGTGTTTTTCCTTCTTTCATCCTGCTTACAAAACAGAGGATATGAAAAAGTATTGCTCACCATTCATAAGATAGTCTCTCTTGGATTAATGTTGCCAAAGTGAAGTGTAGTCAGTGATGTAGAAGAAACATTCAAATGAAGAGGAGAGATGTTTTGGAGAACTTAATGTTTGGAACTATTAGGGAGTTGAGGAGAGAGTAGAGACTCTGTGTCCTGTAAGTTGTGAAGTGTACATAAAGAAGCAACAGGCACTGAGTAAAAGGAGTACGAACAACTTCAACTAAATTCCAGAAGGTAGGTCCAGCTGCTCTCATGTAGTCATACAGAAAGATGGCGGCCAACCGGTAGGGACTCTGAGAAGAAAAGACATCCATTCATTCAATCAGACAAAATTCATATGAGCCAAGAAAAAGTAATGGAATTATTCAACTTTGACACGCTAACTTGTCCATCTGGGTTTTAACCTGTGAGAAGCCTTTTCTCTGTTTTGGTAGAAGGATAGTTCTGAGTGTGGCTTTTATAAAGACTACTGATGGTTGCACACTGCCTTCACAAGAGGAGAGAATGCCAGTGTTAGAAGTAACAATACACTCAAAAGCATGACAGTAGGAGTTACAGGTTCACCACAAGGCATGGACTATTCTGAGAGCTGTAAATATGCCACCTCATTGAATCCTTACCACTTCCTTGTTTGGGAAACCATTCCATTTTGCATTTGACATGGAGGAAGCAGAGACACAGGACTATATGCTCAGCATTTCTTTCAGTTGCACCTGCATGTTTTATACAAGGTAGAAAATACTTTGAGTTACGTGCATGCTTTCCATCTGTGTATACTTCTGTCACGAATGAAACATACCACTTGAGAACTGCGTTAGCTTGTGTTTGGGGGTCTTTACCCCTTGGCAGAGAGAGAAGGGTGCTTTCAGAGAGACTCTAGACGTTGGGAGTTCGGCATCATTCAGCCTGTGCTGGCAGCTCAGACGTGCTGGCTGTTGGCCAGCAGCACTGTGTCTGTGAGCCTGAACTGCTGGGCTACCGCCAGACAGCCTTTGAAATGTCTTTTCCCTAGGCCCATCAATGGTGGTCAGGATTGCCCTGGTGTTAATTTTGAGTACCAGCTTTGTAATACAGAAGAATGCCAAAAGCACTTCGAGGACTTCAGGGCCCAGCAGTGCCAACAGCGTAATTCCCACTTTGAATACCAGAATACCAAACACCACTGGCTGCCGCATGAACATCCTGACTGTGAGTAGATACCATTCTTTTTCCTGCTGCGTGGATGGTCACTTAGCGTTGAAGCTTTGCTGACACCAGGCCCTTGCACTTTTGAGTCCAGTGTGGCAACATACGAAGAGGGGTACTTACAGAAGCAAGTCATTCCGGATCCCCAAGAGTCAGGCTAAAGAATGCCTTTCTCTTGAGAGGTGGGGATTGTGACAGACGTGGTATCTGGCAAACGGCCCTGTCACCACTGCCATGGGAAATGACAGTGAATCACCTCATTCAACTGAAATCCTCAACTAAGAAATAACCACAGCAGGGGGAAAATCATCCATTTACAGCTAAGTCAAGATGAAAACAAAACAAAACAAAAAAACCCCAAAACCAAGATGGCCATTTATTAAAACAAAGACTATGTAGCCTTTTCTAAACTTGTTATTAAAAATAATCTTAGAAATTTTCATCTAGTGTTTGACTTCTTCCCATTAAATTCTGGGTCAGATAGGCTCAAACTGAAATCTCTTATCATATCTGTTAGACTGATCAATGTGTGTATACTATTGAATTCTATTGAGTGCTGTTCTAAAGGAAATGTAAGCATGGATAGGTCAAAGTTGAACACTTTAGACTAAATGCATTCTCTTCTAATTTACTTTAGTGAAGTGGCTCACTCAGATTATCAGTTAAGTAGATCCTACAAAGGCACACATATTGGCTGGGTGGGTGACAGGGGGAAAGAAAAGACCAAAGTGGTTGGTGTTCAGAATGTTACTGAAGTAAAATTGGCTTTGATTTAAAGCTTACTAAAAAGCTAATGTAGGTGACATCAAGGTTTGCCACCATAACCTACCTGGGATAGTCTCAGTCTATACCTGACTGATGTTCCTCTATTAATAGAACCCCTTATTATCTCAACAATGGCCCAGGTTAGATGACATAAAATAATTCATCATCCACATGAAAACAAATATACATGGTGGCATATCCACACTTCTCATCTACTCCCTATTTTATTAATACAGTATTTCATTTGCTTTTCAGGCAGCCATATTGAAATGTTTTATCTTAAAATAAACCTTGCTGGTCAAATATCCTATTGTATGAAAATAACTAATATAAGCCTGCCTTTTATGCAGCCAAGAAAAGATGCCACCTTTACTGCCAGTCCAAAGAGACTGGGGATGTTGCCTACATGAAGCAGCTGGTGCACGATGGAACTCGATGTTCCTACAAAGATCCATACAGCATATGTGTGCGAGGAGAATGTGTGGTGAGTTCCGACTGCTGCATCCCACAGTCCTCTGCAGTTCTACCTTTACTGTCGCTCATAGGCATGTTTGAGATTAGCATGTATGGATGAAGCTTCCAGGTCAGCACCAGCTTGATTTTGAGGTATTCTATGATTCATGTATGTGGTGTCTTCAGCAACAAGGTCTTCCCATCAAGTTCTGAAGGGTAACCAAGAGAAATGGCAACAACGTATAATGTTTGGAGAGGTCTATGGGACTATACTGACTCTCCTCGAAAAGAGGCAGCCCATACCTGAAACTGGGCTTTTTATTTGTTAGTCTGTGATGTCTAAGAGTGGCATTGATCCCCCATTATAAAATAACTCCATGATATATGTATGTGTATTACATTTTAGTTTTGAATAAAAGTCTAATTCTAAGTTTGTTTAAATGATTAATGCAGACTTTTCCAAATGGTTCAAAACTTAAATACTGAATTTTATGCAAGAGCCAAAGTTGTAGGGAACAATATAATTTCTTGTCTCATCTAGTCTTTTTCTAATGCAGTTTATTTTTTGTTCATATTCAACTGTTACCGTGAAATTATTCATGTTAGCTAGACCACTGTTCCTAACATCATCCGTTTCCTTTTCACTTAGCAAAACTGAAGTATGCTATTATGTTACTCTAACAGAATACCATACAGTGGGTAATTTATAGAACCAAAGAAAGCAAAGTTCATGCTAAATGAATTTAGGTGTTTGGGTCTGTGGTTCTGGAGCTGGAAAGCCCAAGGTGTTTCCTGTTGAGCCATCCCTGCTAGAAGTTAGAAGGGAAAGAGAGACTAGGAACTTAGCAGAGGAAGGAGCTGTCACTCTTATGACACCCCCGTTCTCTTGATAACTATCTCATTCTGAGACATGAAAAATTCTTTCATGAAAGCAAAGGCCTCATCATGACCTAATCACGGCAGCTTTTTTTTTTTTTTAATTTCATCTCATTGTTTTGAACTAGCATTTCACTCTAGAGTCCAGGCTGGTTCCAAACTTGCTGTGATCCTCCTGCTTCAGCCCTTCCAGTGCTGAAAGGAAACAGATGGAAGCCCACGCCTGGCTTCCCCACATTTAGTAGGCCCTGTGTCTCAACACTTTTGAATTGGTGATTAAGTTTCCAACATGACCTGCTTGAGAATAGATATAAATGATGGAGTGTTACTGTCTTCATTTTTAACCCTTGCAGGATTTAGTACTAAATGTATGTCCATTCCCCTAACCCATTTTCATATCCAACTTGTAAGCACAATGGTTAGTGACTTGAGGGTCTTCCCCAGGCCAGAGAGCCTTCAGTAATTACCTATTGACTGGAAAAATGTAAACCCAGCCCATCTTCAGGGCCTTGCACAGCTTGTTCCATGCGGAGCTTCCACAGTTCTTCCTAGTATGCGATACCCACATTCTACCAGCTTTCACCTACATATAAATCGTGATCTCTAAATCGCCATCAATGTAAAATTTCATAACTGTTTGAAGGTTTTCCAATTCTAAAATGCCTTCTCATTCTATTCCTTCAAGCCCCTGTGAGAGTCTTTGGTACTTTGGGGAGCTTTATTTTGCATCCCAACTTACTTTCAAAGATAACACTATTTTACAACTCACCACATTACTGTATGCCTTTATGCATATGAGAGCACCATGCTATTGATTTGTAGATTTTTCTCCTCAGAGTCAACTTACTTCTTTGCTCATAGATCTTGCCTGATGTATAGGACAATAATGTTGGGAAAATAATCCTGGGAAAATACTTCATTAGAACAAAGGCATTTATCATTTATTGCCTAGACTATGATTCATTTTGTTATTTGACATCACACTAGTCCTTCAAAAACCTGGGGCTTGAGAAATCATGACTAGAGTGAAAGTCTGGCACAAGCTCTCTGGCTGTATGCCATCACTAAATAAGGGGTGCATCATCATCATCATGTGAGATGTTGTTTGCTACTTGGCACATTAAAGTTAGCCATGTTTAACATCTTCTCTCCCCAGAAAGTGGGCTGCGACAAAGAAATTGGTTCCAACAAGGTTGAGGATAAGTGTGGGGTCTGTGGAGGGGACAATTCCCACTGTCGGACTGTGAAGGGGACATTTACCAGAACACCCAGGAAACTTGGTAAGATGAGTGTTCTCGTGAACTAATACCTTTTTATGTGATTTGTCATTTTGAAACATCTTTTAGAATTTCAGAATTTTTTTCAATAGTATCACAGAAATTAACAGATAGTTTAAAAAAATAGTTTAAATAAAAAAGACTATGAATTCATACTTCACAGCCTTCCTGAAGAAAATAGCTACTAAATCGAGATAAGGGATACTGTATTGATTTTGATGCTTAGGGGGGAAAAAAACCTATGCTATATGTTATTTTGAATTTAATCAGATGAACTAAAGGTTAATTTTGAATATATGTGGCACATAACTTATTGTCTGGAGATGTAAACTGTTATAAAACTTTAAATATAACTCTTTAACAATGTTATATCATTTTTACTTCTTTTCATTTTAAGGGTGAGCAATTTTATCTTTGTATGCTTATTATGGAGCTAACATCCTTATATAGTGTAACCTTTAACAGCTTTTTTAAACAAGTGAATTGTATGAAAATGTGAAGAAAAAATAAGAGAGACAACAAAAAATTAATCTGAGGTATAATTGCTCATATACATGACCTATTGTGCTCATTATAATATTTAACCTGAGCTAAACATATATCAAAGCTCCAAAATATGGAAGGGAAAGCTATCCCCATGCAATAGGTAATATACATGAATATTTATAGTTTCATAATTTATATAAGGGTTTCTATGCAATACATACAAACATTTATACAGCATAACAAATATCCATATATTTGATGAGGATTTATTGGGAAACAATTTCAGGAAATTTAGCAGCTAAAGGTAAACATGACATGAAGTTGTCATGAAGATCCTCCTAAACCTCCTCTGGCACTATCAGAATATGGTCTGATGGGATGTGAGAAGGCACAGAGAAATTTGGTTTGGGGCTGGAAGTTGCCTCACAGGTTAAGAGCACTGGCTGCTCTTCCGGAGGCTCTGGGTTCTGTTCCCAGCACCACATGGTGGCTCACAACCATCTGTAGCTCCAGTCCCCTCTTCTCACCTCTCCAGGCACTAGGCACACAAGTGGTGCACAGACATGCATGGAGGCAACACACTCATACATACAAAATTATAAAAATAAATCTTCAAAAAAGAATTTGGTTCACTTTAATTGATTATAACTTATAGAAGAACACATAAAAATGTTATCTTGTTCTTCATCCAAATGAAATAATCTTTATTGTCCATTTTTATTTTTTTTTATTTGTTTTTTTCAAGACAGGGTTTCTCTGTGTAGTTTTGGTGCCTGTCCTGAATCTCGCTCTGTAGACCAGGCTGGCCTCAAAATCACAGAGATCCGTCTGGCTCTGCCTCCTGAGTGCTGAGATTAAAGGCATGCACCAAATTATACCCTGGCTACCTGACTCTGGTGAATTCTACTATCAGATTGGCTATGATCCCTGATCCTTACTGTCTTTGCTATTCTTTTAGGATGAATTATCAGGGTTTCTAATTTGAGATTTATTTGAGAGCAAATAATGCTACTCCGGCTGGCTGTTTGCATTATTTTAACACAGCAAACAGAACTGAAGTACAAATGTTACACTTTTGTTACAATCAAATATAATTTTCTCTGCATTTCCATGAGAGGCTGGAATGTTCTTGCTTTACTGAAGTTACATTTATTTTTCTATTTGGGGGTGTAAAATAATTGGTTTTATTATTAGGATGAATTAATGTAAGGAAACCTTTCTGCATTTTGTGTACTATAAGGATATGATATTGTTTTCAGACCATCTCAAAAAATTATGCTAAACAAGAATCAAAGTCAAAAGAACATGTGAAGTGTCCCTTCAGTCACTTAGATTCAGGGTGGTCAAAGACAATCTAGCCTCCATTTCCCTTCATGAATGTCCTCATAGTCATGCAATAGACTAATTAACCTTTTCCAACAGGCAAACATTTAAGCAAGAGATGCCATAAGGAACTCAAGTTTCTGGAAAATGAAATCTGCAAGTATTCAACTTCCAATCTCCTCCATCATTTTGCATTCATGCCCAGTCTTACTTTCATTGACTATTAACAGTCTATCAGTGTTTGCTAACACTGTAAACGCATTTTGACTTGAAAAATTTAAAGTTTTAGAACATGTTCTATATCTTACCCAATAAAATCTGTATGGCTTATGGGGTAGTCAATGAAACAGCAAGACTTTGGTAAACACGAAACCTCCACTAATTAACGACATTCTATTTAAGGGAAGACGAGAGGCGCGTTCATTTTACCCAAAGGAGCTCGTAATATTTCTCTTGCTGAAACAAGAGAAACTAAAAATGTACTCGGTAAGTTGTAGCACGCTGCAGAAAGATGGGCATCCATAAGTGACCTCATACTGATGTGCACTCCTGGGCATCTTAAGCATGTCGCTTTTAGCTGTTGCTTACTCAGGCAAACAGTACAGCTCCTGTGTTGAACTGTACCATAGGGTAAGGTGCTGAAAACCCTGATCCTAAATGACAACTATGTTTACTTAGGACCCTAATAAACATTATATAAGAGTTGGGTAAGTCTATGTATTATAAATAAATATTAATTATACATATACAAAAAACAATTTTTTTTCTGATTCTGTCAGTAACTATATATTTCTATCTGGATTTCCTTTGGCATAAATACTGGATTATATGAATTAGATGCTCCATAATATGCTAAAAGCTTAGGTTGCATAATTTCCTATATTTGTTTTTATTTGAGACCGTGTCTTCCTATATAACTGATTTCAAACTCAATATCCTCCTGTTTTACCTTCACAAATGCTAGGTTCTAGGCAGGCATCACTTTACCTGGATCTGACTCATTCATTGTTATCAGCCATGAAATATAACACATATACCTCTCAATTTGTTTTATTGTTGATTTATAGTCATGGACAAAGTTGTAAGTGATCCTTGATATAATTTTAGGGCTTATGGTAATATTAAGATTTTTCCTATAAGAATGTAAACTTCTAATAGTCAATTTTAGGCTATTAATTTATTTTTTAGTTAGTTAAGGCTATCAATTTACAATTCCTGGCTTAGAAAACTGAAGCTGGAGCATTTGTAAAAGCAGTACATGAAAGATAAAAACTGAATGCAAGGTGTATATTAAGTATTTTTATAAGTGGGATTCTAAATATTAAAGCATTTCAATATATGGAAGCTTAGCCATTTATAGTGTCATAGGCTTTTTATAACAATATGTAGGCAGAAGGAATATCTTACATTCACCACCTAACAACTTCTACTAAAACTACCACTTAAAGGGGTAGTTATAAAAATTAGAATAATACAGGGCGACTTGGGAAAGCATAACTGTTTGCCTGAATTGTTGATGCGACTCATAGGTCAACACTGCCTATGAGTTTTCCTCCTCCTCCTCGGTGGAACTTTTTCCCCCTTGTGCAAGCTGTCTCAAGGCTGTAGAGTTCATTTCTGAGATGCACACCTTTCAGTTTATGGATGCCCTCTTCTGCGTGCAGGAGCCGTAGGGATGCAGTGCTGGACTAACCATAGTGTTACCTTTGTTCTCTCTGCTTCCTCCAATATTCACCACACATGCAAAAGGGTACCTTAAGATGTTTGATATTCCCCCTGGGGCTAGACATGTGCTAATCCAAGAAGACGAGGCTTCTCCTCATGTTCTTGGTAAGTGTTTCTGTCCATCAGCGCTGCTTTTCCATGCACATAAACACGAAATGTCAAAGACACTCCACAGGGGAATATGTATGTGTATATGTATGTATGTGTAGTATACATACTATACACGCAAGAATGAGGATTATACATAAATCCATTAATTAGATACTATGTGAAGTTTAATCATTTCTCCCAACTAGCCTTACATTAAAACAAATATTTAAAACTGAAACTTCAATTTTTGGTAGAAAAGGGATTAGTTCATAACTCCTGAGAAAATTTTACAAGTTTTTATTTATTAATCACATTTTGCTCTGAGTTAGGAGATGATAAAAATATGACATACCATTAAGGGAAGGCAATAGAAAAATTAAAATTTCTTTTATTTATATTTTATGTATGAGTGCTCTGCGTGTACAGCTCCATGAAACAAGAGGGCATCAGATCCCATTACAGATGGTTGTGAGTCACCATGTGGGTGCTGGGAATTGAACTCAGGGCCTCTGGAAGAACAGCCAGTGCTCTTAACCGCTGAGCCATCTCTCCAGCCCCCAAACTTCTCATTTTTATGTTGGAAATGGCTGATGAATAGTTTTATATATTTTGCATAATTTTTTTGTAGATTTCAAATTCTTTGTAAATCTGCCACAAGAGAATTTTGCTATTCCAGTGTTAATTTTTCCTAATACCTGGAAGCTGTTTTCCCATGAGAGAAGTATTATACATTATAATAACAAAAGATCTATAATGAATTAAGAACTCTTATTAGTTGCTGAGTCGTCTGGGGATTTTACTGTCATCAGGAAAGTCATTGGCCTGGAAATCATTTCGGCTCTTCAGGGTGGCTATCAATGTATTGCCAATATTTAAAGAGATAGTTTGTATTAACAAAGTATCCATTATATCCAAAGGGTCCCAGCTTCCAAGGAAATGTATAAGATAAGTGAGTTAGAATCTGCTAATCTCTTTGACAATGTTTCCAAATGGGAATATTTGCAAACATTATTTTTTTACCTGTTTAACCATTTGTATCTATTTAACTGGGTTAGGAATGCTTCTCAAAGGCTTAGCCTAATGGAAGGAATGGGGGAACCATTAGAACTAACATTCGTTTTGACTGCTTGATACTAATAAGGCAGAAACATCAATGATTTTTATTAATAAAATGGGGGAATTGCTATGGCTCATCAACACTGCCATATGATAAATGTGTGTCCACCACTCATTTCCCTTTGTTTAGCTATTAAGAACCAAGCCACAGGTCACTACATTTTAAATGGGAAAGGGGAGGAAGCCAAGTCGCGGACCTTCATAGATCTTGGTGTCGAGTGGGATTACAACATTGAAGATGACATTGAAACTCTCCACACGGATGGGCCCCTACATGACCCTGTTATTGTTCTGGTACGTGCCGTGCAACATGTGTGTAGCTGGTTTTTGTTTATAATTTTATAACTTAACTTACCTGAAAACATGCTTAGTTAAAATATACAGATGAACATTTCCTTGCTTCTTTTTTGCAATTCTATTTATGTCTCCCTGTTCTGTGTGCAACATTCTCATACAGTTTAGTAAGTATATTTTACTTGAATAATTTATATTTAGTCACAAACTAACTTTTTTTTTTTGGTTTTCCGAGACAGGGTTTCTCTGTGTAGCTTTGCGCCTTCCCTGGGACTCACTTGGTAGTCCAGGCTGGCCTCGAACTCACAGAGATCTGCCTGCCTCTGCCTCCCGAGTGCTGGGATTAAAGGCGTGCGCCACCACCGCCCAGCCCAACAAACTATTTTTGATGTCCCCTTTAATCCATGATTATTTACCTTCTGTATGGAGAACTTCCTTTGGCAGTTTTTGTGGTATGAGCATATTATCAATGAAATTTCTCAGCAGCTTTCAAGTTATCCAAAATGCCAATATTTCTCCCTCATTCTTGAAAGATAACTGTAAGAAGTGTTAAATTAGGGTATTACCAGTTTTGTAGTTTTGATTTAGAGATGTCTTTATACTTACTCACTTTATAAGCGTGTTATTTACAATATACAATGAATCTATAATACATTAAAAATCTATATCAGCAGTTTTTTTTTTTCAAACCAAAAAAGCAGGTGATGTAATCTTTTTACCAGAATTCTATCAGGAAAGCTACTGGCATGAAAGTCTTATAATTATTTAGTTAACTATCAGGGTTTGGACAATGTTGAAGAGATATACCATAAAGAAATCATTATGTTATATGCTATACTGACAGATAATGTTAATTATTAGAGAAGTAATTATTGTTTTTAGGGAACTAGAGGGAATTGAGGGATTATCAATGACAAAGATCTGGCCACCTGCAGCAGAAGCAGGCATGAGCTTATTTGATGGATGTTTGTAATGCAATGACAGCCCCCAGGAGGAGTCTGCCTACCTAGGAGACTCAACTCAGCAGCCCCTGGGAGTCTGCTCTGAGAACTCTGGGAAGCAGCAAAGGGTTCCTTATAGCCATGGATCATGTGCAGACCTAGCCGATAGTGGGTGCTTTTTCATAATATACATGTAAATGGTACAGGCAGCTTCTATATGATACTGAACAGAATTGAAATGGCCTAATAAAGCACACAAAATTATAGAAAGATAAGATGGAAACAAATGAGCAATAATGTTCAAACTTCATAAAGAGATAATTAGCATCCAGAACTTCTGAAAGTTGTGTTTGAGCTACTTTAAAAACAATTAGAAATGTGAAGACTGTCTAAAGTGTCAGAGCTCCAAAGTAAGGCTTTGAAGCTCTCAGGTCACAGCCTCCTCTGGGAAAGTGTGCAAGTAAGGGGTTAACAAACAGCAGGTGTGTTTTCGTCACTGACAGAACCTTTGTCTACTAGACTTCATTATCATTTTCTCATTTCCATGAGAACTCTGAATATGGTGTGCCAGTTTTATGTAGCTATTTTTTGAGGATTTTATATTACTATTTTAACTAATGTGAGAGCGTTAGGTTTCATTGTGATTTTAGATGTCACTCTGCTTTGCTCATATCCACCACCCCGCCTTACCCAACTTTGCTGCTTCTTACAGCTGGTCCCTTTCTACTCTAGTCTGATTTCTGTTTTCATGTCACAGATAGACACCTGATCTGAGACTAACCTCGCAATGTCTGACTTACTTTCCCTACCAAGTACACAACGGCCTTGGTCTCCTTCCCTCCAGAAGCCTTTATTCTTTCATATCCCCCTCTACTTTCCTATCATTCACACATATAGTAATTTTCCTACATGTGAGAAATGAGACCCTTGTGTCTTTCTGAGTCTGGCTTATTTCCCTTAGCATGCTCACCTCTTCTATGCATTTTGCTGCAAAGGTCATAAGTTCATTCTTAATGGCTTGGCTAAAACTCCAATTTCATATGTACCACAGTTCCTTTATGTGGTCATCTGTGGATGGACCGCTAAGTTGGTTTCATATTGTGACTAATGCTGCAATAAACATGGTGGGTACCTCTGTCTAGATTCTTTCCAGTATATACACAAGTGTGGTATAGCTCGGTCATATAGTAGCTCTAGTCATATAGTGTCTGCTCTAGCTTACATGGTGACCAGTGGTATAGAAAGTTCCTCTTTTCCCACATCCCCACCAGTATTTTTTATCCCTTTTATCTTGATGACAGCCATTCTGAATTAAATAGGTGGACTCTCAATGTAGCCACCTCTTTTCATGACTGATTCCAGCAGCTATCTCCCATCCCTAGGCTGGAGCAGGTTGTCCAGGCTGCTTGACATGGGATTTCTCATTGTTACCATGCCCAGGGTACCTCAGTCTTAAACAATAGGTTCCCACTGAAGATGATTCCATGTGTTGGGAAATGAACTGCTTTCCACCAGTGACCTTTCACACTGAAGGAGTCCCTTTATCACCAGAATTCTCAGTTAGGACCGTGGGCTTGCCTCTTTATACCAGGACACTCAGTTTAGCTTTTGGATATACTTCTAACTCTCCTTCTTTGCCGGGGAGCCATGGCTAGAGCTGCATGCCTTTGTTCCTGTGTGGTATGGACTTTGTCATTCTGACTCTGCTCCTTCACCCCAACACAGAGGTCGCTTTCAATTTGTCATCTTCCCTGGGAAGTGAAGGGTTTTCTCTTTATGCTCATTGTTTACCAGTTTTACCATGGTGGACTCAGTGAGCTTTGTATTGCTCATACTTGGAGTTCACTAGGAATTTGACGCTCTAACTAGTAAAATGTTTTATACTACATTTGAGTAAATTCCTCATTGTATCTTTAAGACCTCAACTCCATCTGTGTTTATGGGATTAATTTCCAAACCACTTTAACCTTTTGAAATAGTTTAAGAATATAAATAATTTGCATTGGCCTGTTTTAAGTTTGACCTTCCAGTCTACCCTATATCCTAGCCAGGATTTTTTTCATGTCAACTGGTGTACTTTCTTTCCTAGCATTTCCATGTGGTGGTGTTTTGTGTTTCCTTCTATGTTTACCGGTATATCCAGCACGCCCTTTAAATTCTAGATCTCCAAGCTGTCTGCTTCTGCTGGAAGCTTGTTTTCCCCCCAGTGGGTCACAGTCACCTGCCTCACTTTACATAATGCACCTGTATGAATGGTTCCTTGGCTTTGGTCCCGAGGCTGTTAAGTCTTGGATCATTCGAAGCCTCTTGTTCTTCTTCATTAGGACCGGTCTGTTTCTACTCGACCTTATTCTTACAACATGAAGTGTTACTGAGCCCTCCTCACTCTGCTGGAAAAGGTCCCCCTGACTCTCCCAGCCCTAGCTGTGCTTGAGTCTCTTTGTCTTACTGTCTTGCAGTGGGGCTGCTGCTGCTGCTGCTGCTTCTTCTTCTTCTTCTTCTTCTTCTTCTTCTTCTTCTTCTTCTTCTTCTTCTTCTTCTTCTTCTTCTTCTTCTTCTTCTACTTCTTCTTCTTCTTCTTCT